ATTTTTTTAGAGATGTTCAGCTAAATATATCCTCAACATTTATATAGTGTCTCATAATGTATTTGCTGTCCATCCTCAATCACTCAAATGTGTGTAATTATTAGGTCTAAAGACAAACTGTATGTCATTCCACTTCCAAACAATATTGAAAGAGACTAAAAACTGATTCCTGGGGACCTACTTCTGCAGCTTTATACAGATATCAATGCCAATTGTTGTTTTTCAGCTTTATTTCTCCATACAATTTATAATGATATGTTATAATAATGCAATGATATAATATTAATGCAGAGTGAGTGAACTTCAGTTTTTGGCCATGCAATATAGACAGTGTTTACTTGACTGTACACTTTATAATGCATTCGCTTTTATTTATTTGTGTTATTACTTTCTGAAAACAATGTATGTCCAAGTAATGAAGTGAATTCCAAGCATGAAGAAGTAAACTTAAAATTTACTCAAAAAATGTGACTTAAAATATACTACAACTTCAGGTTATTTAATAATGTACTTTGAAAGTATGCTTTCAATGCATTGTTACAATGATCATTTTCAGCACACAGTTAAAAAATATTCATAAAATATATTTAAGTAAAGTGCAAATAAATATACTTATAAAAAATAAACAGAACATTCAATTCATGTATATTTTTGTAAAATATATATTTTTAGAAAATATACTAAATTACAATTGTTTTAAAGTGTGTTAAAAGTTGTATTGTGAAAATAGACAAAAGCATGATGCTAATATACTTTTTATATATTTAAAGATAGTACATTTTTTGTTAGTATATTTGCAATGTACTATTAAAACAGGTAATATATTACAAATACAATAAAGTATACTTTTTTTTCACTAGGGTTTAAGGGGGTAATTCACCGATTTCAAGATGAGGCTTTAATAAACCTTGGCTGTCAAGGGAGTAGAAATTGGTGGTACATGACTAGAGAAAACAGAGAAGTGTGGAGTTCCTTTTTGCCAAAAGCTTAAACCACATAAAGCATTTTTTAATCCACTGTCCATTGACAGGATCACAAAAATAAAGAAGTTCGATCTGTAGTTTTAACGCAATCCCTGGAACTGTCTAAAGTCTGCCAGATGATGCAAAAAGACAACTACAACTACAGAACGAACTTCCGCATTCCTGCTTACAAATTAACTGGATGGTAACATGGAGAAAGAGTACACATTATTCATTTATATATACTACTGACACTGTAACAATGCAAAGCTGGATGGAAATCTGCAAACATATAATTTAAAGAGATGCTTTGAAAAAATGTGCATCATTTACGTCTGTCAAATAGTTTTCTTAATTCAAAGTGTATAAGGCACTTTTGTTGACCTAAAATGTCTTTTCTGCTTCTACATAGATGGCTAGCTGTGCCTGCATGTGATACAGCATTAAGGACCATAACCAAGAGTTCTATCATTCCTCTAACAATACCATTTCTAGGTATCGTTCTGGGTACCATTTCTCAAAAAATCAGTCCTGTTAACGAGACATTTATTTTGAAGGTTATGGATTAACCAACAATAAAATGGTTTTACAGACAGGATAAACTAAGCATTGCCTTTGCTGAGGAATGCATGGACATTGCAAATCTTTAGGTATAATATTAATGCAGAGTGAGTGAACTTCAGTTTTTGGCCATGCAATACAGACAGTGTTTACTCAAAAATGTGACTACAAATATACTACGACTTCAGGTTATTTAATAATGTACTTTGAAAGTATACTTTCAATGCATTGTTACAATGATCATTTTCAGCACAGTTAAAAAATATTATTCATTTATATATACTACTGACACTGTAACAATGCAAAGCTGCATGGAAATCTGCAAACATATAATTTAAAGAGATGCTTTGAAAAAATGTGCATCATTTACGTCTGTCAAATAGTTTTCTTAATTCAAAGTGTATAAGGCACTTTTGTTGACCTAAAATGTCTTTTCTGCTTCTACATAGATGGCTAGCTGTGCCTGCATGTGATACAGCATTAAGGACCATAACCAAGAGTTCTATCATTCCTCTAACAATACCATTTCTAGGTATCGTTCTGGGTACCATTTCTCAAAAAATCAGTCCTGTTAACGAGACATTTATTTTGAAGGTTATGGATTAACCAACAATAAAATGGTTTTACAGACAGGATAAACTAAGCATTGCCTTTGCTGAGGAATGCATGGACATTGCAAATCTTTAGGTTCATTAATAGCAAAGAAAACCCATGTTGACAATAATTGGAAATTGTGCATACATTGACAATTACTTGACAGAAATTGAACTGTAATGACATCTTTAGTGAGGTTATTGCTTACAAGAGGCCCTGAGATGGTGTGATCTAGTGTACTAAATCTTTTTATCAACCATCATTCTCCATTTCTAATTTTCTATCATTTTTCATTAGTACCTCTAGGCAAAAATGGATAATATAATGTATCAATTCTTCCTTACATTTCTATTTTTAACATAAAAATATCTGTACCCTTCACTGAAGTATTCATATTGCTTGTTACTTAAATCTACAACTCAAAGAGAAATGTGAAAACTAAGCGATTAAACTCAGAATTCAGTTTCTCCTCTTCATGGAATCCCTGACATATCAGAGAATTAATACATTGGGAAGAATAGCGAGAGAAGCTACAACTCCCTTTGGCCTAGTAAGTTACCCAATATCCAAGTTAACTTTGAGGCAAAGCTTATGATGGCCACAAAATTAAGGCACATTAAATTCATGTTCAATGCATGATATGACAGCAACTACTCTCCAGTACTGTAGTGCTGTAATCTTTGAAAACAAAGATGGCACTGACTGTTCAAATGAGGAGTTCATTAGCTATTACTAGAAATAAAAATTTCGCTACTGTTGGTTATTACGTCAGCCCCTACGAGGCAATGATATGAACACAACAGCTTCAGCTGACAACATCTCACCAACCTCCTTGTAACAATTTTTGAATCTAAATACTATTCATTAAGTAACAAACTCGTATATAATTAAAATACTAATTTCTAAATAATAATAATAATAATCAGGTATTTCTGAATTAAAAATGAACCTGCTATCAACATTGCTCCAGTCCTGTGAAAAATAATAAGCATGTGCAGTAGACATTTCACTGGACACTGATCAGTAGTTTAGTGCCAAATATAATGGGACTGCAGGGGTAAATCTATGGACCCACTTTCAGTCACCTGCAACAGTCTCCCAATTTATGGTCCCAAAAAGAGCAAATAACAATTACAGTGCAGATTATACATTTCAAAACTGCTATAATAACCAGATACATAAAAACAACACAAAACAAAAATAAAAAAAACATACAGTGTGAATTTAAGCGTAAGTAAATCTGCAAAACACAATGCAAATCTCCAACAAAATAGTAAAACAACAGGTAATAGTTTCAGTTCACAGACCAGAGAGAGCTGGTGAACAGTTAGCATAGACACAATAACAGGGTTGATATGAAAGTAAAAGCAGAACCTTCTCAGATAGTGGAAGACTTGGGGCATAAGATATGATTCAGCTCCTGAAAATAAAGCATTTCCATATTAATGGATTAGGAATACTTGCATCCCCAATGATGTGAGAACGAAAGACATGCTTGTGCACTGGTAGCGAATAGTGCTTTATTCACAGCATTATCTTGGGTCCTGTTCCAAAGTCCAACCGTTTCACCATCCTGCAATACACAACAGAAAATTTGGAGAAGAATTATTATGGACAAGCCAGAGGTGGTACATTCTACATCATTTTGGTCGATTATAGAAATGTGCTCAAATTAATAGTGAGACTAACCCCTTATCATACAAGCCATTCGTGTTGGATGGGATTTCAGGTGCTTCCCGTGAAACGCTCAGGGTACCCTGGCCAATTGCTGCACGGCTGGGTGTTTTCTCATGGACGTGTAATTCTCTGCATGATGCCAGCTTTGATTCAAGGTTCTGAAAAGGGAAAAAAGGGACATAAAACATGATTATCAAAACCACAGACCCCCTCAGTTGAAAGAGTGTGTATTATTTGGTAATATCCACAGTTAAAGCTGGACTCACCCCAACTTTCCTCAACAGTTCTCCAACGATGTTGAGGGCAGATATACGTGCAGATGTGGTGAGAGGAGTTCCAGTCAGGCCTTCAACTGGACATGACAGAAAAAATTAAGTGAATAAATCAACATTTAAACTCTTAAATTTTAGAAATGTAAGGCTGGAAGATGTGGGAAATGTTCTTTTCCTCCTCTACATCCTTCAAATTTGTTCTTTCTCCCCACTTCACCAATCCTTCCCTTCACTTAATTGACTCAAAATTCTTGTATGCAAAATACAATGTTCTGCATGAAAGCAAATGATTTAGTATCATTAAACTGCAGTAACTTAAGTGTTATGCACAGCATTGAAAATAAATGTGCAGGAAACCTTTAGTCACACCAGTGGATACTGTCCTTGGGCCAGTTACAGAATTAAGTGGCTGTGTTTGTGCTCACTTCTGCTGTAGGAAGCTGAGGGGGTGTTAAATGCACTCCCTGAGCCTGGAGGTCTGGAGGGTGTGGCATGGAGAGATGGGAGAGCGGAGGTAACAACAGAAGAGGGTCTGGAGGGTGTGGCCTCTGGCTTCTCTACATCTTTAGAAAGGCTGATTGATGACTTGCGCTCTGGTTTCTGCTGAACAGCCAGTTCCTGTCTTAAATCTGCCCCGAGGAGAAAGAGAAAGAGGAGGAAGAAGAAAACACAATCAGCACACAAACACTGAATCTGTTAAAACATCTGAGACTGGCCAATCAGGTGATTATACTACTAATTATCAACGAAAATGGAAGTTCGTCAGTTAGATAAGAGTGAATAGTGTATATACAAACAGGTTTCCACTGAGTGTACCTCTGGCTTCATCTTTTAATCTCTGTACTGATTCTAGAAGATTCTTTCTTTATAAATAAAACAAGTAGTTATAATAGAAATAGAATAGAGAGTGCAAATGTTAGAGGGTCAAGTTTTTTCATTTAAAAAAAACAAGCAGATAAAATTAGAAGTAGCATTAGAAAAGAGAGTGCTAGAGTTAGAGGGTCAAATGAAGATGAAAGAGATGTGTTTTCAGCTGTTTCTTGAAAATATTAAGGACTCAGCTGCTTGGATTGAGCTGGGCAGGTCATTCCACCAGGAGGGAACAGTTAATGTAGAAGTCCATGAAAGTTTTATCATAGATAGAATGCAAAATTTTTCAATACAAGCATTTCAGTCAAATGTCAGTCACATCTTTAACCCACTTGGGAAAATCAACCCATGGCAACAGTTTAAAAGTAGCCCAATTCTGTGGAAAAAAACGCGGACTTGGTAACCCTGCATCCAACAAGAGCTACCGGAGTCAGCTTTGACTGATCACAGGTCGAGAATAAGGAGAGATGACTGACAAGACCATGCTGGAGTATTTGCTGCTCAACAGATCCTGAACTCATTGACAAATATCTGATCTTGTAAGATGTGCTCCCTATACACAGTGTGCGTGTGATCGCGAAATCGAAAGTGAAAGTAAACAGCGCAAACGCTCATTCAAAAATATGTAAATACACCGCATCCTGAGAGCGGCTCCCTAATGCGCCAAAATACACAATATTAGAATGTTTAAAAGAGTGGACACGAAAATCGCGGGAGCAGGCGGCAATGGTCGGAAATTCAGCGGGAGTGGGATAAAGAAAACAGCCGAATCCCGGACGTTTTGGGCGATTAAGAAATCCCGGTCGGACGCATTTTTTTTTTTTTTTAGGTCCAAATAGGGGACATGTCGGGGAA